GCTCCTCCATCTTGACCATGTAGCCTACCTGACTGCAGAACCTGGCAATCTTTGCATAGAACCAATAACACAGCCACAGAATGTGAAGGGTTGAAAGGGACCTTTAAAGATCATGTGGTCCCAAACCCCCTGCCCTGGGCAGGGACACTTCCCACTAGACCACATTGCTCAGAGCCCCACACACCTGTCCAGAGCTGGGGCATGCACAACCTCCCTGGACAATCTGTTCCAGTGCCTCACCACCCTCACAGTAAAGAATTTCTTCCTAATACCCAGCCTAAATTTTCCCTCTTTCAATTTGTACCCATTGCCCCTTGTCCTATCACTACAGTTCCTGGCAGAGTCCCTCTCCAGCTTCCCTGTAGGCCCCCAGGATACTGGAAAKTTGCTGTGAGGTCTGAACAGCCCCAGCTATCTCAGCCTGTTGTGCCTGGGAAGAGGGTGTGGAGGTGGCAGGAGCTCAGTACTGCCTACTTGTGAGTCCATAGTTTACTGAAAACATGGTAAGAGACAGGTCAGGTTGGGCTGTGAGTGGGAACTGTAACTGTAATCAGATTAAGGCAAGTGTCACATACCTCTGGCTCCAGGGCACAACCCGGCATCTCTCCTCCTCCACTCAACCCAGTGACCCACCTGGTCAACTTCTTGAACTTCACACAGAGGTCACAGTGAAACGTGAAAGCCTTGTCTATATTCAGCTCAGCCTTTGCCGTGCTGAGCTGAATGGACACAAGATCCCAGTTCTGAGAATGTCATCAACCTGAGACTCCATGTGAGGGAGGGACATGCCCATGGTTTTACCTGCTGCTGGGAATCCTGCAGGAAGATKTCCATGTTGGTTCCAACAGGCAGTCACCCAACAGTGCTGATTCCTGAAGCCTGTTACAAGTCACCTTGACTCCAAATTGCCTGGCATCAAAATTACTACTTCAGTCAGCACCTAACATGGAATGAATTAGCAACAGACAGCTCACACTATGAAAACCACRAGGTCACTTGATAAAGGAACAGTTGGGTGTAACTAGCTACAGTAGTAGCAAGGAAAGAAAACAAAATTGGGAGGGATAGTACCAGGCAGCAGTGCAATAGTGCTGTAGAGAAAGGGAAATCCCATTTTCAGATGAAGTAGCAATGCAACTTCATGAGATGCAATTACTCAGTTCTATTCTGGTTTATCCAACACAAACAAGATCTCAGTTGAGGTCCTGAGGGGTCTGTAAAACAGGGATAAAAACTATATATAGAAGAAAATACATCATATCAGGAGGTGTTGAAATCAGAATCCTTTTAACTGACTTTATCTTTGGTTATTGTAAAGCGCAGCAGTAATTGTTTCCTGTGTCCTCCAGAGGAGAATGAGCAGAAATCAAGTTACTGTCTAACAAAAATGAATTCAACTGGACAAGAGGGAAAATTTCTTGATATCAAAGAGAAAAATACATGTAGTTCTTCCTCACTGTATATTTTAAATACATCAGAGAGTGATCAGGCATAACTTTGAATACGTGTACACCTAATGTGCACAGCACAGTCACATAGAGCAAGCAGAAAAAAAGTCCCTTCCAGGCCAACATTTCAATTAATCTTTTATTGATTTAGAAGAAAAACACACTCTGATATAAAAGAGATTCTAGTATTTTGCAATACCTTGTAAAATCAGTTCAGAAATAATTTTTCCAGTGACAAAGAGAAGCTGTAGTGTAAGAGTGTGGTGGAGAGAGAAAAGCACAGTGGAATCCAGCATATCCTACACACCAGTATTTCACTATAGACAGTACAAGTAGAATAACAGTTTTTCCTCAATATTGGGAGTGTCAGTAGTCATAATCACTATATCATACAAGGCAAGACTTCATCAAGGAATGATACTGTACAAAGTATGTGTAAGGCTCAATAGGACTTACATTCCTACGGTATCCAAGTGTTTGGGTTTGGTTTGTAGCTAGTTGTTTTTGTTTTTTTTAAATACTGTGGGTATAGCAGAAAAACAAAAAGCCCACATGGATTAATCCAGGGTTTCTGCAGAAACTGGAGCAGGTCTGAGAAAGGCAGCACTAGGCAGCACTCTGAGAATAACCAGGACAGGTCAGAAGTAGCAGGGAAAACAAGTCCATAATAAGCCTTGGGTCACTTAAAAGACTGAGGGAGTTTGGCTTGTTCAGCCTTGAGAAGAGATGATTRAGAGGGGACCCCACCAATGTGTAGGAATATTTAAAGCCAGTGTGTCYGGACTGTTTCTGTGGTAAATGATGCAGCAATGCACAGTTTATAAGACACAAATATTTTCAAAACTCAGAAGCAGTAGAACACAAAAAAGTTGGGAAATAGGCCAACGCAGCTAAAAGGGAAACAAGGATTCCTGATTTCTGACCTAGAAAGTGAGCCATGCAGCCCCCCTGTTTCCCACTTTTCTATGCCTGGCAGAGGAATTGAAGACAGATGGAGGAAGCAGACAACAGCCAGGTTTCTCAACTATGCAGCTAGACCTTTCAGGACTTTATATAAGATGCAGATTTTGTCAAACAAGCATTGTCATCCAAATCACACCAAACCCTGCCCCCCACACTTTTATCTTGAAACTCTTGTGGGAAAAGCTTGAAATTTTTGTGGGAAAAGCTCTACAAAGCTGAAGCTTTTGTTGGTTAAAATATTTTCAAAATGGGCATTGATTTTGAGAGGTTCCACTTCAAAATGAGCATCCATTCTTCCTCAAATTGATCCTCGATCAATTTGTAAAATTGACCCAAGGCTGGTGGGTAGCACTGGACATCAGGTTTTGAAGCATCCAAAATCAAAAGCTGATGTTAGCCTATGTGTATACAAAAAAATCCATCATTTATACAAATGATAAAAGTCTTCCTTGTACTTGATTAGAAAACATGTTACATTTCCAAAGAGCCTAACAATACATGATTTTTTTWAAAAAATYCTCTGTGGCAATGAATGTATGAAATGCTTTTAAGACACTTTCYACTGTAAACAATTAGAGCAGAATTATTTCCCTACACTATTACTCATTTGTTGAACACATTCCTTTTTCCTTGCATTTTTGTTTTAATGTAGTTTGGTGTGAACAAAGACACATTTCATGCTGGCTCACACAAATAAAAATGTCATTGATTCCCAGCAATGCTGAGCAGCAGGAATGTGACCCATAGCACTGTTTTTCAGTATATGTGCATCAAAATCATTGATTTGTCAGAAAATATGTAAGCATGGAATTACCTGATGCAACCCTACATTAACTCTCAAGTGTAGCCTTTTTTCCACATGGATTAAAGATGAACATGAATATCTCCTTTCAACCCTCCAAGAGAGGAACCATCCTCATCTGATTTTCCAGGAATTAAAATTTTCCTATGAAAATCTACATGCCTTTCTAAATCATGTACAAATTTCACTTGCCCCACATTAATCTCTTTTATTTCATCCACCAGCTGTGTCAGCAGTGACTTCTTCCTGAGTCCYTTTCAGGTGGGAAGATGGTAAGGCTTATGTAATTTTTCTGCCCAGTATGTTCTGGGGCACAGTTGGGGCTGCCAGTCTCACAGACAAATGCCAGTTGAAAAATCATGGAACAGCCTTGAACAAAATGGCTAATGTGGGAAAAAGGCCTTTTTCTCATCTTGTTTATATCTTTGGTCACAGAGTAATAATCCCATTTGTGTTCAGGAACCTTCCTTGAAACAGGGAGAAGCAGTCTGGCTTTCCCAAGCCTCAGCTCGACCACTTCTGTCAAGTGCAAAAGTTCAGAGTTACGTTCATGAACATTTCCTGCCTATCAAGAGGAAAAGCACCAAGACATGACTGGATTAGAGGTGACTGTTTGCAGAATCGAAAACAGAAAAATATTTTCTTGTAATATATGAGAAAGTCAGTATAATCTTAAAGCTGACAAAACCACAGGTAATATTTATTCAACCAAATTAGGCTGTCACAGCACACTGGCAGAAGTTCTGTATCCCCTTCAAAGACAGAAACATCAAGTTACAACACTACGTTGTTTTCAGTGGATAATGTTTAATGTTTCCAGTGGATCAAGAAACAATACTGGGATGCATGTGGCAGTCTGCTACTTCTACCTTCAAGGCCAGGGCAAAATACCTTTTTATTTTACACCTACAGACAGGGTCTAGGAAGAAGAGTAACAGCTTGGAACTGTATTACCTTGTCACAGAAACCCTTACAGAGAAGAAAAACATCTCTCACTGTAGAATCAAAGGCACTCCACACCTCAGGAAAGTTCTTGTAGCCATACCTCCTGCAAGTGAAAATTTCCCAGGATGAGAGCCAGTCTGAAAACTCCAGAAAAAACTGAAGGGTGCCATTTTACCAGCAGAGCTGTCTGTCGACCTTGAAGTGAAAAAATATTTCCTTGTTATAACCAACCCTCAGGGTAGATCTAAAGGGACAGCCTTGCACTGTATGTTTGAGAGTGTTAGTCCGTAGCAGGTGGGAAAATGTGGACCATGTCTAAGCAGTGATCCCTGGGCCTTCTGGACACAGAGAAGAAAGATGGTCAGAATATGGCTCTGCATGACAGAAAAGGAACACAAGAAATATTCACTGCTCAGAACAGAGTGTTAATCAAGYATTATGCCCTAAAAGACTCATTAGAGAGCATTATGAAAAATGGTGCCAGTGTTAGGAATCTCTGATGGTCTCTGATGCCACAGAACAGCTCCAGCAGCTGCTGGATCAGCAAAGCTCTTCTGAGGAGTCCAGCAAGAAAAGAGGGCATCTCCTTATGATCTAACTTCCCTTCTTGTAGGCAAAAGGAAAGTCTGGGCCAAATTGCATCTTTTATCAGCTATAAAATCTCTCACTTCAACGTTAGGATTAAATTAAATTACAACATCGTAGCAGTTTACACAAACAAAAAGCTGCTCATCTAGGTTACCTCTTATGGCAGGCTCAAACTATATGCTTTGTGAGATTCCTGATAAAAGCTCTGGGGAAAAGGGCGAGAGACAGTAAACAACAATTTTATATGACTAATCCAATATAATCCTATGCTGGGTAAAAAAGCCAGCATGGATTCCCACCGAAGTGCTTTAATAACAGTGCAGCAAGCTTCTGGCTGTCACACTGAGGAAACGCTCTTTCGCACTCAGGCTARTAATTGCAAAACATTTTTTCCTTTTTCTCCCCCCCCCCCCTCAAATTAAAGCTGTTATATACTTGTCCTCCCATTTTATTCCCTATTAGAAGATCATCCATCAAACCTGTGAAGTGACAGAGATCCCCACTGGAAGGCATCTGAGGATTCCATGTTGACAGCTGGGTAGCTACAGCGAGGTCACCCTCTCTCTGCAAAACTATAACCCATTTTATTGCATCACTGCAGCCTGCAATTACTGTCAAAGGAGAGAATGGCAAGCAGTGTGCTGAGGCAGAATTAAAGCAATTCCTGCTGCAGCAGCTTCCCCCTCGAGTGACCCTGGGTTTCGCTCTGAGTAGACAGCAGTGGGGACCTCTGTGTGGCACAGAGAGCAGCCACACCATGAACGCTGAGCAGCGGCTTAGGACAGGAAGGGAAGGAGACTGCCACCTCCAGCTGAGCCACACCTAAGTCAATTAGGTCTTCACACCCCAGGAGAGAAGGAAATCCATGACTAGGCTCTCCCTTTTCTCCTCTGAGGTCAGAGAGAACAGGTTTTCCTTTCCACCAAGCATTCATTGTCTCAGGAAAGGAAGTCCAACATCCACACAAATCTGGCAGGGGCTCAGGAGGATTGAGGCAGACAAAGCACCCAAGAAACACTTGTATTTCAGGTTCATCAGGATGGGCCTATTCCAAGTGGACGAGATTAAACACGTGGCGTGTGTGTAGGTTACAAAAGGCATGTGAGAGGAACTGGCTAGCGTTTGGGGTTATGAAAGATCAGAGGTTATGAAAGACCTTGGCAGTTATGAAAGATGAGCTGAGAGTCTGATCCAGCAAGGCAGAGAGCAGCCTCAACCTGCTCAGAGGTGAATGGATATTCAAAATCAGCCAGCAGCTCACATSAGGAAGTTCACACTGCCTGGGCAGGTCTAGGCTAAGGAAGACTTGGAAAAAACTTCAGAAAAGTAATAAATAAACATTTGTCACAGACTAAGAGAATGATGAAGATATTACCATACATAGGCCTTAAAGGCAGCTGCATTTGTTTGCAAAGTATTTTGGAAGGTCTTAAAAGACTAACTGTAGTCACTGATTTTCTAAGAAATATTGTTTGCTGGCCTTCTAGTTGTTTTAAATCTACCTTCCCAAGCCACATAGCTGCAATGAATCTCTAAAAAACAAGGGTTCACTCAGATATTTTGGCCTCTCAAGTTCAAATTCTGGTGACCCTATTATCAATATGCTACCACCAGAATGAAGAGAGGTTGGGGAAATTCYACTGTCCAAATGATTGATTTCCAAACATCACTTAAAAAGAGGATATATTCCTGCCTCAAAAACTATTGAGGAGTACCCCTCTTTGCAACAGTACTTCTCTGTGATGTGTGTATAATTTTCTGTTGATAGCTTCAAAGAGGATACTTGTGCATCCTGCCTACTCCACTGTAATTCACACTGTCTGCTTTCAAAACCTGCCTTAAAACAGYCTTCCAAATGTCCCTGTGGCAGCCTAATAACAACAAATCTCCAAGCAGTGAGGCAGACCCAAGACACACAGGAAGAAACTATCTGCACKACATCAGAATAGGATCTAGCCTGTTTTATTGTGGGTGAATTCAGTAATTCAAACTTTATATTTAAAAGAAAAATACAGAAAACACTTTTATCATGGTCCGAAATGCTTCCTAGAATGCAAAGCCATGGTTCATGGTACATTTTCTTATTTACCAAAGTTAAAGATGTCTATACTACATCTCCGCAGTCCACAAATCTCACCAGGAAATACATTTATCCACCTGGCTCTTCAAGAAACTCACTAAGGAAGGTCTGAAAGCCACTACCTCATGCTATGGCAGCAATAAAAAGTACAAATTTCCAAAATGTAGAGGAAACTAAGATCAAGGAAGAACCCAGAGCAATTCTGTTTTGTACTAGTCCAAACTATATTGCATGTTTACCGGGTTATTGCACTTAAGTGCAATATTATATTATTGCACATTAGTGCACTTATATTGCACTAATCTTACATAAGAACAAAGCAGATATGTGTTTGGAGGAAACAAGTGACTTAGAATAATCAGCAGGATTGACAAACATGGCAAGGATTTATTCAACAGAATTTCATTATTTCATACTGCAACCAAACTTTTACACTTTGTATAGTAGTTACTTTACCTTCTCAGAGTTTGTGACCTTTTTTTTTTATTCAAAATGGGGACTACAAAATATTTCACTAAGTAGACTGACAGCCCTGCTGTCTTTGTGGCATCCACTGCCAGAGTGCAGCTTAGAAATTTAAAGAATGAAGTTGAATTTTTGTGTTACAATCCATGAACTTCAATCCCCAGTTTTCAAAGGAAAAGGTCCAAGTGTTTTTTTCTTTTAAAGTGTCTATTATTTTCATGAACTACATGTGGCAAGAGTCCCTCTCATTCCAAAGTCATCTATGTCCTACAAGATAAACAAAAGAAAAGAGATCTAGATTTAGGGTCTGTTACACTAAATGGAATACCCAAGTCAATTTAACTTACCATAGTCTCTAGGAAAATTTTTAATTTTGTGTTCAGAGATAGTAAGTGTTATGCAATTTTCTTCATACAAATGTGTTTGTCACTAAAGCATGTCTATTCTAGCCCTGAAAAATCAAACTCTGAACCACAAAGCAGGTGCTGAAAGACAACAACAAATTTCATACACTTTGTATTTAATGTCTGTTTCAAAAAGCTGTGCTGACAGACTCAGTCCCTGGGCTCTCTTTTTTCCCATTCAGTGCCAAGTGTGCATCAGAACAAGTCATTTGGAAAAGCCTCACTCTGACAGATAAAGTGTGTGTTCCCAACACTCACTCGGTGTTTTAAGCACAACAGTCTGGCTGCTCTATTGCATAAGCATKTATTCATCCTGCGCTGCCCTCCTTCTACGAGGTGGATCTAGAATCGCTCAGCTCTGTTCCCTACTCTGCCGGCAAGGCAATTTGGCTTTTACGGATTCTGGAACAGTGGGTTCTGAATTCTCGTCTTCTCACCCTTGACAAATCCAGAACGACACAYGAAGACAAGGGGGAAATGGAAAGGGCAATGTATTTCTTACCACACGCTTGAACTCCCAAGCACTAACAAGCTGCTGAACTTTTAAACCTGAACTTGCCCTTCCACTCCCGAGGCCGCTTTTCCCACACTTTTMGCCTTTCATTCCCGAGATGGCCGATGCCAGCCGCCAGCTTTTCCGTCGCAGCCCCGGTAACGCCGACAGCCGGGCCCCGTTCCGCGGGATGGCCCTATGGAGAAAGGGGCAGCGGAGCCCCGAGAGGCCGCTCGGCCTGGGAGCGCAGAGGTTCCTCCTCATCCCGGGCAAAGCAGGAGCGCCCCAGCCCCAGCCCGGCGGTCCCGGCGCCATGTCAGGCGGGGCGGCCGGGGCACGGCCACGGCGATGGCGCATCCTGCCCTCCACATCCCGCACTCTGCCCTCCACATCCCGCACTCTGCCCTCCGCATGCCGCACCCTGCCCTCCGTACCCCGCACCTTGCTCTCCGCACCCCGCATCCTGCATTCGTGCCCCGCATCCTGTCCTACGCATCTCGCCCTCTCGGGGAGGCCCCGGCGCTGCTCTCCGCAGTACCCCCGCCTCTCCCGACCCTCCTTCACCCCCGGGACTCACCTAAAGTCAGCGCCCAGCAGCCAGCCCGCCTTCCCCATTGAGCGCGGCGGCCGCCTCTCTCCGCCCTGCTGCGCTGGGCGGGGCGCTGCCGGGGCGCGCAGTGACAGCGCCGGGCGGTGTGTGCGCCCRGGGCATCCTCCTCGGCGGGCGCTCCCGAGCGGCGAGCCGGGCCCCCCGCGCCCCCCGGCAGTGCTCCGGGCAGCGCGGCCGCCGCGATGAAGCCGTGCGAGGAGGAGGAGGAGGAAGGGCGRGCGGCGGCGGCGGGCGGCGGTGCCGGGGACCCTTGGAAGGAGTGCGCGGAGGTGGCGGTGCAGCTGGCGCGCCGCGCCGGGCAGGTGAGAGCCGCGCCGCCCGCTGCCCTCCGGGATGGGGCCGGGCCGGGCTGCCCCGCGGCCGGAGGAGCCTTCTCCCGGCGCGGTCTGAGGAAGAAGGGCCGTGCGGACGCTCGGCTGGTGCGCAGAGCTGGGGAGGGGGCGGAGGGCGGCGGGGCTCGGCACCCCCTCAGCCGGGCCGCTGGCGGAGCCCTCGGCCGCGGGAAGGATGGCGGCAGTGGGGGCCCCATCCTTCGGGGGGCCCTATCCCTCGGGGGCCCCAAACCCCCGAACCTTGGCGGGGGGCCCCAAACCGCGGGCTCCAAACCTCGGGGGCCCCAAACCCCAAAACCTTGGCGGGGGGCCCCAAACCGCGGGGCCACCTCCCTCGGGGCCCCAGCCTGGGGCGTGAGGGGGCCCAGCCTTGGGTCTAGCTCCCTCGAGGCCAACATTTGTTTTCGAGCAGCTTGCGCAGAGAAAAACAACCGTGTCAGGGAGGTTTTGTCTTATTAYATACGGCAGAGTCTTCAGAGTGGTGAAATGCACTTGCTAGGGACAGATAGCTGTGTGATGAAGGTCTGTAGTAGCTTATTTCTGATCTGTGTTTTGACACAGCAGAAGGTTAGGTATCTCAGGTGACATCCTGACMCCACTCTGTGCACCAGCAAGACTTCCACCAGGTTTAACAGAGCCAAGAAGTGAGATCAGCAGATTGTTTGAGAAACTGAGTAAAACACAAACGTTACTTACTTCCATTCTGCACTATTTTGAAATTCACTTTGTACCTATACACTGTAATTTAAGAAGCCCCCTTTTCTATCTTGAATCCACAACCCCTAACTTTTTCTTAGTGTGTGTTACTAAATGTATTTTCTCCTTAGAAAACATCCACAAAGATGAACAGAATGCCAAAGGAGAGGAGACTTGTTTTAATAATACAGGGACTAAATGGATAATCCAAATCAGGATGACAGGTCATGCWCTCACAGACTGGAAACAGGAGTTTCTCCAGCATAGTCATTCTGCCAGCCATTTCACAAGAGAGACTCATGACTTGCTCAAGCCTCCACACCTTATTTCTCAAAATASCGATTTGTGAAGACAGCTTTCACCTTCTCCCGCCATCTCACTCACTCAGAAAATCACAGCTGACCGAGTGATTCTTTCCTGGAAGAAGTAAAYACTCTAGCAGACTAATCCTTGAGTYCTGAATCACAGTTTGCCAGWGCTACCTTGCAACTGGCAGGAAATAGCTGATTCCTTGGCGGGCCAAATTTAAACTAGCTAAGGATGTTGTTTAAGTAGGACTTTGAAAACTGATTTGGGGTTTCTTTCCAGTTAGTTTTGTCATTATGAGGAATCTTTTTCATTGCAAAAGGGCATTGGAGATCTTTCTGGAAGAAAAGGTRCAGGTATGGCTCTATCTTTTATTTAAGTGTCAATCTGCTTCCAGCTATTGCCAAAAGAAACTAGAGCTAAGGATATAAAATGCAGTGTGACATGGGTTTAGTAGGACTGGATTTTTGTTAAAAATTGACAAAAATGTGGGTTATTTTGATCCCCAAAACCAGTCAATTCCACCAGTCAAGTTCATCTTTTTTCTTCTTTGTTTTTCTGTCCCTCAGACCTTTCCACCTTCACCTCCATCCACAGAAATCTTGTTTGCACTCTCTGTCTCCCCAGGTCCAACTCCTGTCTCTATGCCTCCAAGAAGTTTTGCCATTTCAGTCTTTCTTTTAATGCACTCCATTTCTCAGGACTGTGGCAGATTAGGAGAGGTTGGAATCATTAGAAAGGGTCTRCAAGAGACTTGGCACAAAGGCCAACCTGAAGAAAGACATGCACTTTCAGATTTTGCATTTCTAGGAAAAGTTAACCAGTAATACAGTTTTCTGGTCTCTCCTTTTGGCTTATACAACTGTTTAATTTCAGACTGATTGTGTTTCATGACTACAGGTAAAATATATCTTCTTTCCAATAGTTAGGTATCTATAGTCTGGAACAGTTTCTTCTAAACTTAAAAGGCCAATAAAGAARTAATGCTTGAATATGTGTAAAATGTGTTGTGGCTGGAGTAACCTCTCTTACTGGGTTAAAATCATTGCTTCTCTTGTCCATCCTGTTGTTTAGTTCTTACTACTTTTATGAAATATCACAGGCTCTCATTTAATATATATGGCTGTTTCATAACGAGAATTGCCATGGTTTTRTAATCTCTGTATTTGACCTGCTTTAAAATTCACTCTGTAGGGCCTCATATAACTGCACTTTTCAAACTTCTCTTCTGTTTTTTTCTGTGAGTAAACTCTGCTTGCTCGGTTCATGAGAGTATACCCGTAGGTTTGATATGACTTTTTGCTCAAGAATAGCAGGCATGACCCGTCKGTTCATCTTTGAGGCTGTTGAGAGCACTGAGTAATATCTGCACAGTTCTCTCCAACTGCAAATTGGAAAAGCTTCACCAAAATGAGTAAACATGTATCAAGGTAAAAACCAGAGTTAGAAACTGACATAAGACCATAGTATGTTGAAGTCCAAACTATTTTTTTCTTTTTTTTTCTTTTTATCTTTTTTTTCCATTTTTTTTTTTTAATCTTTTTTCCCCTTTTTTTTTCCCCCAGAAAATAATTTATGAGGCATAAGAGACCTAGCAGAATGCCACTAAAAAAAARGGATAAAATTTCCACTGGTATTCTAAAAAGTCAAGGGTTTTCCCCCCATGTTTGTTCCCAGGGGAAATTTCTAGGCTGTTTTTAATGGGAACATGGGCAGATTTTTAGCAAACCAGATTGGAATTTCCTGAATTACTTGCAGGTACTCATGCTTTTTATCTAGATGTGTGATTGTACCGGTGAGCAAATATTTCAGGATGGTATTGCAAGCAAGCAAATCCATCTTGGAGCTCCCAGAAATGTGTGGTGAGTGCAGGCAGTATGGTGAAATGAAATACCTGACATGAGCACACTATTGTAGGTGGCTCTCCTGGCAGGTATTGGAGGAAAAGGCATCTTGGCCCTCTGTCTTCTTCATTCTCCTTGTTCGAAACATTTCACAAAGGCATTAAAAAAGGAAGAGTCCAGTACTGACTGTGCCAAGCCCCAGTGGCTCCATTTCTCCTGCTCCAGGGCAGATGAAGGAGGGAGCAGGGACAGCCTGGGTCTTGCTCTGTGGTKTGGCCTTCATGGAATGGTGTAAATGCCCCTCGCTTTGCATAACCCCCCAAATGCTCCCAAGCAGGGTATTAGGATAAGGTCTGCATTAGAGGAGGGACAGCATGRGCTAAGAGTGTTAAAAGGCTCAGCTCTAAATAACCGTGCTCCCAAAAATCAGTTGCTTAGAAATTGCTGAAGAACTCTGTAATCTAGGACAAGCCCTAGTACAGGGATAAAGTCTAGTAAAATAAGTTTACAGTCAAATTACAACATCTTGGTCACCAGTGTCTTTGTACAGTAGGGATAAGGTGCAATCAGCTGTTTCCATTTCATCACCCTGTAGTTCCTTTGGTTTCTGCTTGCCTGTTGCCTGTTACCTAGACACATGTGGAGCCCCATGTCCATCTGGAACAACCAGGCAATTGCAGTAGGTATCCACAAACTGCACTGTAAGGCTTCTGCAAGGAGAGGAGTTAGTGATGCTCTCAAAGTGCTCTGAGGCACCAGGCCCTAACACTCCTTTGTGGCCAGGTGACTTTTAGGGATTATTGAACATAAATTTAATTCTACACTGCTCTGAGTTACTTGATCATTTTCCAAAGAATAAAAGYTTTTTCATCAATTATGCAGGAGAGGTGATCCTTGTGTGGGACTACTCTGGATGGGATTGCATACCTGTAGAAGCTGGAGGAAATGCATAGGAATCCTTTTTGTCAGACTCTTTGTAAGAGGCAGAGAATTGGTGGAATCACATCTGCCCATCCCATGGCATCGTAA